CCAGCGGCAGCCCCTGCTGGCACCTGAGTTCGGAAAGGGAAAGGTTGGAGTTCGTGAGTTAGCGGAGGGTTTGCTGATCGATTGTTCAGAGCACGCGCATGGCCTTCCGCCAAGAGCCACTTGAACTACCGCAGTCGAGGCTCCAGTGCCAGATTGGAGCACCAATCTCAGAGGTTCATTTGCAGGCGTGATGGCAGAAGAATCGGATCCTGAGCCGTGTGAGCCGAGGCAGGAGGTATCGATCTCCAAGCTTCCGGAGGAGGTCAGAGCATCAGAGAGTCTGCTGAGGAAGGCGTATCAGCGCACGGCCCAACCTTTGACTGGATCAACTGCCAGGAACTGACGGAGGCAACTCCGCCAGAAACATTGGAGATGCGCGCTTCCGAAGCCTTGGAATCCTCCCCCATAGAGGTGGCTTGCAACTGCTTAGGGCTACTTACTTGGCACCCCAATTCAGCCGGCTCATGGGAAGATCGATTCCAGTACTAAGCGTGTACTACGATTGAATGCAGATCCAGCCGGTTCATGGGAAGATCGATTCCAGTACTAAACGTGTACTACGTGATAATTCCATCCATCGCATGCGTACGGCCAGAACCCATAAAATGAGAAGAAGAAAAACACGATGACCCCAAATCGGTTATAAGGAATCATATAGGGTTTTTATACAGCCCCATGTGTAGATCCTGGCCACCTGCTTAACGAGCTGGGGCTACTGGTTTATCGCCGGGCTTCTTTGGTGTAGCATCCTCACTGAGCCTGAAACCAGTGGTCATATTTGTGCCCAGATGTGCCCAGAATGCTTGATCACTTTGGCTGCCCTCCTAAGCTATTGTTTTGATTAAACGTCCATGTCTTGGATCACCGATGACTAGTACTACTGGCTACTCCTGCTGTCGTTAATAGGATTATTGTCTCTGCAGTCCATGGTTTTTGCTATGACGGCCAATCCTACACAGTACATGAAAAGACCCACACCGATGTGGCGGCACGTGGGTGTTATGGGAAGGTTTGGGAGCTGTTGTTTGCTTTTGGGCTTCAGGTTCATGGCACTAAAATGTTGCAGATCATGTGCGCAAATTGCAAGGTCGAGGGTGAAGAGCTCATCACACAACTCAAATTGAGAGTTTGGAGCTGGCTGGAAGCAGAAGTGCGAGCCCTTCGGAGCCTTGTCTGCACGTCTGCGCATCTCAGGGCTCAATAGGGTTGGTGCACTCATGATTGAGATGCTCTAGAGACTGTCCGCGCTAAAGGGATAAGAGCCAAGGGCAAAGTTGTCAAAGAAACAAAAAGATGCAAGAAACAAGGAGAAGATGCCACTTGGCCAAACTCAGGGGAAGACATTTTGTTTTTCTTATGAAGCCGTACGTTTTCTCTGCAGCATGCAACCAGGCAGCGTGAGAAAACGGCATCCCTCATGTCGCCTCCTGTCGTGTTTAGCTCACAGTCTTGCATCTGTTATGTTGCTTATTGATGATGGCAGCGTGTGCTCAGATTTCCCTGCTGACTAAGGATGACCAGCGACTACTAGGTGCCTTGCCATGTTTTTGTTAGGTTAGGTTAGGTCGGATTAGGTTAGGTTGGGTCAGGTTAGATTAGGTTGGAGTCGCCTCCAGGCACGAAGTTCCAGTTTTGCAGATTGTGAACAAGGAATTTTGGGGTTGGTTGTCCATTGGCGGGTTAGACGTAATGCCTTCAGCCAATGTAGGGATGTCACCATCAACTGGCGTCGTCTTACCCCTGAATGTCATGGCGGCCTTTTCTGAGACGCGGGATAGTCTTTGATTTCCTGAGCAGTCTGCCAGCGGCAGGTACTTTAATGGTTGCTGTTCAGGTGGTGTGCTGAGGTACGTGACTTCCAGGCACTCCTCTCCAAGCTTATGAGCCTCCTTTACTGCAGTGCCTTGCAGGGTATTCGATTTAGAAGATGACACCGTAGAGGTGCTTGATTTAGGTGGCTTCGGGACAGTCCAGACCGTGCAGAGTTCGTATTATTATGGATTGGGAGGTTGATTGTTTATGCAGACATGCGCAAGATCATGGACGCCCCAGCACCCAGCATCTCCAGAGTGCTTGCGATCAGTGTTTAAAGGTTGTGTGTGTGTGTGTGTGTGAGAATAGAGTATACAGTGTACTGTGTTATATTTGCAGACAGTCGTGCATGATCCAAACAGTTGGAGGCTAATCGCTGACTGTGGGCATGCCACCCATGCAGCGGCAGATGTGGCTGTGAATTTCCCGTTCCAGTTGCAGTAGGAGCTGAGAGCCGAGCCAGGTATTCAACTGGGGACGCGTGCGGCCTTATGGCCGGCTTGTGGAGCAGGGTGTGAGCGCTATCCGCCATCAGGGAGGTTCATTCTCCAGCAATGAGAATTTGTTGGCAGCACGCCTGAGGGCCTGAGACAGTCAGGTTTCAGAGCCGCTGCCCACCCCAATGTCACCGCACGCCAGAAGTGTTTCGGGCATCCGCTGACAACCCTACCACGTATGATCCGTCACTGATGCGCTAGGCTAGACTCTTGCATATCAGGGTTTTCAGCGGCTGCAAAACACCTCATGCTGGCAATTTCTTAGCAATCTGTCAAAGGCAGTTCACCTACAGTAGTCTTTAGCAAGCTTCACGAGCAGACTGAGGGTGTTGCTTCGTATTGGGCCAGTCAGCACCATTCGGTTTAAAAAACGTCAACATCATCAATATGGCCTGACAGGTCTGATCTGGCACTGCCACGAGACCTTTTTCATTCAAGCGGCAGTCAACGTGATATCCACCATTAAGAATGATCACACAAACCGCTTTCTCGATTTGAGCCGCTGAACAAATGCCAGAAGAGCAATATCAGTTACCAGCAGCTGGACTGTACCTGAAGCTTGTCGTTGGGAGCAGTCTCGAATCCACTACGAATCCACTACACACTTGGGTTAACGCAACAGCAAATGAAGTCACATCATTTCCCCGTCGCTGCAAGTTTTAATGCAACGTCATTGTCCTTGGTCTCAACTTAGTCTAGAGATGCAGCACCGCTTCAATTGGCATTGGACTCCTGTGTTCCTGTGTTGATGATCCGGTGTTTAGGGTTCAATGTTTAGGGTTTAGGCTTAGGGTGAACACCAGGACGTCCAACTGGAATCCCAAATCCTGCAGGACTGCTGCCGCCAGTTCAGGGTTTATAGGGTTTCGGGCCTACGCAGGGTACAGACAATGTAGCCACGCCACTGCAGGGGAGGGACGGTCGCTCAGACGTCTGGTTCTGTCATAAGGATTTCATAAGGGCTCTGTGAGGGATCTATGAGGATTCTTCCACAAGGGCTGTCTGAACATTTCCAGCGATCGCAAGCTGCTCTGGTTAAGGGCGCTGCAGGTGTTGAGAATTTGTCATAGATGTTAAAAGGGTTCCATCAGGTTTTGTCGACTCATTTCGGTTTAGCAAGTTTCATTCATACTTTCATCACCTGATCTGTGCGGAGGACCGGCGCTCGGCTCACAGTTTCGTGAGTGCCCCCCACCGCATCGTCATCGTCATCATCGTCGTCATCTTCGTACCTAAAAAACAAGCTATATATACATATATATATATATATTGTTCGGCATCGGCGAAAACTTGGAAGGTTGTTGGTCCTCGTGTCTGTGGCTGAGTTTGAGCTTGGACCGCATTGGCAATGACGTCGGGCAGTATTCCAAGTCTTCGAATACTGCCCTCCGTTATGGCAGCTGCGTAGCCGTGCAGAGTGACGTCCGCAGGCGTTTCGCCAAGTTCCGACGACGAGCTTCATGCCGCTTCAGCTTGGATCGCATTGGCAATGACGGCGGGCAGTACTCCAAGACATTAAGTCTTGGAGTGCTGCCCTCCGTCATGGCAGCTGCGTAGCCGTGCAGAGCGACGTTTGCAGGCGTTTCGCCAAGTTCGACGACCAGCTTCATGCCAAAGCAGCGAGTTGTGACCGCCATGACTGGCTTAAAAAACCATGTCAAGAATAGGGTTAATAATGTTTGGAATATTTCAGAAAATATGTTTGAATATTTCAAGAAGATTTTAGAATATGTCAAAAATATGTAGAGTATTTCAAGAATATTTCAGAATATTTCAGAAAATATGTAGAATATTTCAAGAATATTTTAGAATATTTCGACAATATGTAGAATATTTCAAGAATATTTTCAATAATATTTAGAATATTTCAGAATATTTTGAAAGATATTTTGAGTGGAAAAAGAATATTTCAGGTTTTTGACATCCCCCCGAAACCATACACAAATGCGTGTATATATATACACATTATACACATGGATAGAGATGCGTGTGTGTGTATATATATATATATAATATTCTACTGTAGTTATATATATATATATATGATAGATATACTTATATATAGACACATATATCAGGCAAGCAACCTGTACGGTCGCACGGAAGAGGCGGGTGCAAATCTTGGGGGGGGGGGGGTGTCAAAATATATATATATATATATATATTATGTATATACATACCCATACACATGCACATAAGCACTGCCACCATCAATCGTCATGAGCATAATTATCATCATCATGACTCTAATTCATTTTGCTGCATGTTTGCTCGAGCATGCACTTGCGCATGGTAATCTCTTTTCACAGAGTGAAGGCGTCCAAATCAATGAAAACTGGAAACTACAGAAATAGAAACGCATTGAACCACACTCAGACTGTGACATCGAGATGCATGCTAGCAGGTTCAGGGGTTGCTATCGAGATCCGAAGAACTCGAAACCATGTCCGCTGATAGTCTCTAAAATCGCATCGCAGTGCAATATACCCCTCCCCCAAGACGCAGTCCTACCGCTGAAGCTAAAGCTTCTTTACTGAATCCTATCTGTCCCGTCCTTTTTGGGGTGTGTTCATACTACGGATCCTGCTCTCCAGGGTTCTGTAGAAGGTTCCCTTCTGTTCTGACACTTCAGATTGTCGGAGTTGATCGAGCCCTTCAGTATCACCACCTCTTGCCCGAGCTGCGGCAGCCATGGCCGGGCAGGCACGGTTAAATACGGAGGTCGTGCCAGTAAATAAGTTTCTCAGTTTATGGCCCCGGCCCTAAACTTATACCTTAACCGTACACCCTAAACCCCTAAGCCCTAAACCCTAAACCCTACACCTAGACAGATATAGGTTTGAGGTCTCGGGCCTCGGTCTTCTGTTTAAGTTTGGCGCAGGCCGTGTCTCCACCTCGAGGGTCCCTTCTCACCTGTGAGTGTGACTCAGGCTTGGCGGTTTGGGATGCGGTGGAGTCGTAGCCCCTGCGAGGCCCCTATCCGTACAGACCCCTCCCTGAAAGATCATAGACCCCTACCTTTGTACAGTATTCTATCCGCATGGACCCCTCCCTGAATCCAGGTAGCCCCGTACCACGCATGGACCCTTTCCTCTTAGATATTGGTGCCTATACTTGGGTCCCGACCCCGAACCCTATACACGGCTACTTTCTCTCAAACCTACTCGAACTGTCAACTGTTGGCGGCTACCCTGCCCACTGCTTGGGATGGCAATGAAACCACCAGCTTCGAAACCCCGAACACCTTGAAGCCCAGACCGTGAACTCGCTATCAGACCCCACAAATCCTCAAGCCAAGTCTAAGCACTAGACCCTTTGGATGATAGACCCAAACCCCAAAGGGCTTTACGTTGCATCATGGAGCAACCCGGCCAAACCACGGCGGAAACACAATCCGGAAAACGCCAAGACTCGGAAGCCAAAAACCCCCTAAACCCCAAATTACCTCACCACAGAAGGCTGTGGATGGAGATGGCTGCCATCACCGGCTCATCGAAACCTTGGAAGAAGGAGCGGCGGGAACGAAGCTGGGGTTAGCGTTTCGGGTTGAGGAGGAGGAGGAGGCTTCTAACGTGCAAGCCGTAGCTTTGTTGCATACTGCAGGAAAAACTTCTTGTTTTGCAGATGAACAAGAGTTCTACTGCTTCATGATGCTAGTCAGACAGAGATCTGTTGTGTTTCATACACCTCTCTGGGCGGTGGCCATCAGCATGAAACTGCTGCTGCTCTCAATTGCTCTCCATGGCCTTGCGTCCTCGTGCCTTCAAGCATCGGGGTTGAGTGCGCCCTGCCAAGTGCAACACCTCATGACTTCGCAAAGCAAAGCTGTCTAAAGCCCAGAAGCTTAAACGCCTAACTCTCCCCCCCAAAAAATAACGCCGAACTCCCAAAGAATCATCCTCAAACCGCGACCTTGACAAGAAACAGCCTTGTGCAACTAGCGCAACAGTGTGCGTCCCGCAGCCACCCGGAGGTTTCACCTCAGAGGCCGGGCGAAGAGAGCATGAAAGAGGGTTTTTGGATATTTGCTATCCCGTGTTTTCAGTAACTTCAGTATATTTGTTGCTGTGTTTGTCTTTCTGTGGTGTCCGCTTTTGGGCCTGGAGGTTTCAGATGTTTCCGATTACGGCTGTCTCCCACATGTTGCTACGATTAGCAATACAGTCACTGCTGATCTGATGACAATCATCGGTAGCGTTAGCAATAGAGCAGGTTACCTCCCACACAGCCCGTAGCTCCTGTCGTAGACAGGACCACTAGGGAGTTGAAATTGTTTTATCTGATCTTTGTAGTACAACTCTTGTTCTTGTCGCTCTGATTGGGAGCTTGTGGTTTTTGGGTTCTGGCAATTGTCAGCGCAGACGATTGGGACTCTTGAGATGTAAGCAGAGGCGCTTCCGGCGATCGATGCAAGAATGTCTGTAATCCTGTAAGTCGTTGTATTTCAGTGCCGCAGCATCTTATACTCGGATGTGCTTTACTATCTACTACCAGCTTACTGTACCTTACAGTTAGCCTATCTGCCAGCCTGCACGTTAAATCTGAGGCAGGCTGGCGAACTGCACTGTTTTACATGTTTTGTACATGCTACATGCTGTCCACATAAGAATACGCGGTCGAACAACATTGTCCTGACATGATCGTTTGTAATTGGGTATGCTATTGCGTGTCTAGCATATCGAATGAGAAGCCAGATTCACATACCAAGCGGAATATGACGGTGGTGACGATAATTGGCGTGAAGATGGTGGTGATGATGATAGTTCTTTTTGTTGTGACTCTTGCTTGCGATTCTCACGACACTGTATTATGTTCGCACTCTTGCAGACACTTGCTGTTTGTTTGTGATTGTTGTCCCTGTCACGCATCTTGGGTTCATTGTCAGGTCTGAGAGCTTCGGGGTCCAACAGTTGTAGCTTGTTTCGGTAAGGCTTACATGTTTTCGCTTCTTCGAGGCCGACGTTTCAGGGATTTGTAGCTCTGGGGCTAGGGTTCGATGGTTTAGGGGCTTTGGGGTTTCGGGTACGGATTTAAGATGTCACTTCTACATGAATTCCGAGCTTGGCAATAAGCCCTACGCCCCCAAAACTCTGCAGCCCAAACCGCAAACATCAGACCGCTAAGCCCTAAACTTTATAGAACCCTGAGAAATTTCTAGCATCGACTCAGACCCCAAACAGTGAGAGAGCACAAAGCAGTGCAAGGCCGAAATTGCCTACATACCACCTAAGAGCCACGTCAGAAGCACTTATTCTAGGAGCCGCAAGCGCGATTTGCAGTCAAAATCAGCACTGTGGCGTGAGCATGATTTCGGCAGGCGGGCGGCGGGCACGCATGCGATTGTGGCGGGAAGACAATTAATATGCATGGCACCATGGCGAGAACATGATCGAGACGGAAACAGCTCTAACAACGCCGAAGCCACTCCCAAGGAGTCAAGTGCGATACCCTCGCCGATGCCCGGAAACGGTCTCTCGCGCTGGCTGCCTGAGCTTGTCGGGTTGCAGCTCAGGGTTGAGGGTTGTAAGGGTCTTTCAGTGTGTCCCGTGTCGGTATAGCATGGGTTTGGGGTCCAGGTTTGGGTTTGAAGGCGATTTGAAGGTTGTGCGTGACTGAGCTGGAGCGTTTGGATTTGTAATTTAGGCTTCAGGGTGCTAGGGGTGTAGGGGTGTAGGGTTGGGATATGCAGGAAACAAGCGGTAAGGGCTGCTTGGCTTCAGGGTTCAAGAATGAGGGGCTTAGGAGGCTTAAGAGTAGTGGTTTTGGGTTCAGGGATTTAGGCAAAGGAGCCATCTTCACGAGGCTTCGGCAGCAGCGAAGCTACTAGTACGGGATAAAAAGTTGAAAGCATGAGCTGCGACTGATACCCCTCACATAAAAAATTAGCCACGAAACAAGAGCGCATGTCATGTTGGTGTCTGTCAGTCATGGTACTGGTATTGGTAGTAGTAGCAATAGCTGTAGCAGTAGCGTAGCAGTGGCCGCCGTAGTAGCAGCAGCAGTAGTGGTGGTAGGAGGAGGAGGAGAGGCGAGCAGCAGCAGCAGCACTCCCACTACTACTTCTGCTACTAATGCAACACCAACAACAACTACAGCAACAACAACAACAACAACAACAACTACTACTACTACTACTACTACTACCACTTCCACT